CGTCGGACCACGTCGGGAAGCTTACGCTCAGGCCACCCTGTTGCTGCAAACGCTACGTCCGGACTGGGCGCCTATCTTGGGAGGCGATTGGAATGGACACATCGGGCGGGACTCCATCTCCGATCACATCGGACCCCACGGCCTCGGTCAAACGACCACCATGGGAGGACGGATTCTGCTGCAATGGCTAGCACAAGCATCCCTAGAACACGTCGACTCTCGCCGACCCATCAAATGGAGAGGCACCTGGAGGCACGACCAAACGGGGTCCTGGTACGAGCTCGACTCCTTCGTCGCGGCCGGCCCTCTGGTCTCGGCATTTCAATCTATCCACACTTTTGCGGGAATCGCGGACCACATGGGAAAGGCCAGTTGGCTCCACATCGGCCGCGCCGGTTCACTACCGCGGAAACAGCATCGCAAGCAGCGTTTTGTTGCACGTGCCAGCCGCAACCGGAGCCGACAACAACAAGGCCTCCAGGAAGGACGTCTTCAACTAGAAGGCCTCCGTGGACCCAGCGAGCGAGCCAAACGCAATCGCGACCGCTATAGCCAGACAGTCGAGCAATGCCTGGCCGATCGAGGGGTGCCTCCGGCGCCTTCTTCCACCGACCCCAACGACACCTACGTTGAAGGTTGGCTAACCACCGACCCCTGCCAAGCCCACATATGCACGGATGGATCTGCCTCTCACCGCCCCGGCACTGGGTGCCCTGTATCCGCGGGCTGGGGATTCGCAGCGTGGCACCAGGGTCAAGTCGTCGATGACTACGGCCCGGTCAACACCACCACGGGCACTACGGACGTCATTGCGGAGCGGGCTACCAACAACACTGGCGAACTCTCCGCAGTTATCTGGGCTCTCCGATGGGCCCGGCGTATCTTGCCCACTGGTACCACGGTCCACATCCACTACGACTCCGAATACGCTTGCTCTATGACTCGAGGCCGATGGAAGGCTACGCGCAACGTGATCCTCGTCAAATTAGCTCGCAAGGAGCTGCAAGCCACACTCCCAACGCACCCAGTATGCTGGCACTGGACCAGAGGACATTCGGGCAACGTGGGCAATGAACGAGCCGACCGCAATGCAGATCGAGGCCGCACCTCCCGGGCGCCCAATTCTGTTTCCACCCCTGGCCCGAGCCGCCGCCTTCGCCGCAAGGCTCCCCCGTCGGCTTCCCAGCCAGCGCCGCCCACCTCCACAGCACTCACCTCCACGCCCTCGCCGCCGCCCGAACCTCCCACACTGGGATGGACCGAGCTGGCCGCCGTCCTCCGGGAGGCCGCGACTACTACGGTCGGCCGCCGAGCGCGTAACACAGTCGGCCGGCCGTGTACCCCTGAAGATGACGCCACCCTCTCGACTCTGCAGGAGGCCGTCTCCACCGCTTGGGACAAGGTCAGACGAGCACAAGGCCATCCCTCCGAAGCCTCCCTGCGAGAGGACCACAAGCGAGCGAAACGAGCACTACAGACCTTCCGACGCCGCTGTCGCAGCCGTTGGCTTCGACGCACCACTTCCCTCCTACACGAATGCATGAACTGCGGTGACTGGGGTCGCTTCTACCAAACCCTCCGGAAAATAAGCATTGCGATCCAAGGAGTGTCCTATGAAGGGACAGAACCTTTCTCCCTCGAGGACATCCGCACACACAACATGCGCATTGCCGAAGACGAATTCCACGTGGCTCCCGAGCTGATCGAGCAGCTGGTTCCGGCGCTCCCAGAAGCCTCCTGGCTTGCGGACACGCCAGCCGAGGACGAGATCCTCGACGCGATCGCGGCCACCAAAGAATCGGCACCTCGGGAGGACGAAGTCACTATCACAATGATAACTGCAGCTGGACCACGAGCGAACCACCAATTCCGCCTACTCATCACTCAACTCTGGCACACGCCTCCAGCGCAATGGGAGCCATCAGTACACCGATGTCTCGGTACAATGCTTTACAAAGGCAAAGGGGCCCGCGACGACCTGGATAACTACCGTTGTATCATCCTTATCAGTATTATTTCACGTGTCCTGGGCAAAATCATGGCGGGCCGACTTCGGAAGTGGTCGGAACAGAGCGGCCTACTACCGGAATACCAATGGGGCTTTCGTCCTCACAGGAGCACGCAAGACACCCTCTTCCTGGTTCGCATCTTACTCGAGGCCGCCGCCGAGGCGCAGACATCTTCGGCCGACACGGCTGCTCCACTTCCTGAACCACTCACGCTCTTGCTCATCGACATCATGAAGGCCTACCCACGGATCCCGCGGCCCTCTGCCTGGCAAGTATTCAAACGTGTCGGCTTTCCACCGCACTTCATGACGATTCTCAGTGGCGTGCACGATCTTGCCGAATACGTTGTTCGTACCAGAGCCGGCACCGGGGAACCGTATACCCTCGCACGCGGCTTCCGCGAAGGATGCTGTACCAGCCCGTGCTGCTTCAATGTGTACCACACGTTCCCTATTCGACATGCGGAACAACGGATCTCAAAGTTTTTGGCGGACAACAACCTCGAACCCTTCCGAGTCCACAGCGTGGAGGGTCGCAAATTCCACCTCCGACAGCCTCCGGGCAACCGCGCTCGCAAAGCCCTGAACCACAACCTGGACATCTTCGAGTTGCTCACCATCATGTTTGCCGACGACACGACGCAAGTGGGCCGCGAAGGCAGCCGCGAAGCTCGAGAGCGCATCCTCATCAACACGCTGACCGAGTGGGGCGAAACGGAGAAGCCAGAAAAACGAAAGAGACTCCGGATAGCCACTACCAGGGACCCCAACCTCTACAAGGACTCTGCCAAGCTTCTCGGGTGCATCCTGGACTCCACGGGCAAACGCCAGCGGGGCACAGACAACCGACTGGACTGCGCCAAGAAAGCGTGGGCTCAGCTACGACGCCGCCTACCGCAATACGGGCTTACGGACCGCCAGAAAGGGGCCTTGGTTTCAGCTGTGGTAATGCGATGTTTACTATACGGAGCCGAAACACGCCACTTCACTTCGACACAGATCCGCCAATACCAGACCTTCCAGAACAAGGTTGTACGAGGGATTACGGCACAGCGCATCAGCACAATGCAAGAGGACGAGGTCACCATGCAGGACTTACGTCGACGTGTTGGTATCGACCCCATACATATCCTGATTGGACAAGCTCAGCTACGGTACCTGGGCCACCTCGCGCGCATGCCCGCCGACCGGCTCGAGAGACGCATCCTTTGGGCATGGCTGCCGCCTGAGACGGCGGTACGATGCAAACGCACTCCTGGACACACCCGCCGCCAGCTACGGGCCCGACTCGAAGAGCTCCTTGGCCACAGCTCCCTCCAAAAGTCCCAGCGGGCACAGCAGTGGACAGCGATTGCCCAGCGCGACGGAGGAGCGGAGTGGGCCCGCCTACTACGCCTTTGGGTCAAGGACCAGCGCCGCCGCGCCGACCAACAAACCTTTGGAGCCAGACGCCAAGATGCAGCTACAGCAGCACGCCGTGCCGCAGCGCACTCCCGAGTCTTTCAGGAATTCGGCGCTCTGCCCGCTCCGGGGAGCAAGTATGTCTGCCCGCACTGTCAGAGCAATATGTACTTACGTTCCTTACGATCCCACGTCGCACCCTGTTCCCGCCTCCCCCCAGAGGCGCGCGCCAACTCTGCATCATCCACTTCGGCCGACCCGAGCGCTCCAGGAGGAGAAGGAGGAACTGGCACCAGAAGCACCGCCCCGATCCCGGCCAACCCTCCCTCTAGAGGGCGCAGCCGAGCAGCCGCTGCTGCAGCGCACGCCGCCAGACCCCAAGCCACCACCTCGAAGCGCCGACTCGGTGGGAAACAGGCTCGCCCTCCAGGACTCCCCGCCCCCGCACCGCCCCCACCTCCATGGGATCCCACGGCAGTGCGTCTTGATTACCAAGCAAGACAGGCGGGGCGCCAGATGACGCTGACGGACCTCCCAATCCCACCCCCTCGCCCCGGCTATCCTCGCACAGCCTGCCCCTACTGCAACAAGCTGTTTGCGAACTCGACGCGTAGAGCGACTCACTCGCTATGCTGTCCAGAGATGTCCTACAACGAGTGGTTGTTCCGCGTTCGGGTGTGTCAATGGGAGGCACGCGAGGGGCCGGCGGCTTGCCCTCACTGCGCCACTCGCTTCTGGAAGCCCCACGCCAGGGGCAAACATGCCACCTCCTGCGCCGCTCGCCGCGCCGCTGCGGGCTTACCCAACAACGCGGCGATTTGGCGCGATCTTGACAGGGACCCTGGCGGATCCACTTCGGCGTAACCTCGCCGTTCTCTCTCCCCTTCCACCCCATTTACCCCGCCCACTTCCACACCATCAACTTGTGCAGACACCGCGGCTCCAGCAATATGTGCAGACTCACACCACACGCCCATTCCCCACAGCAACTGCATTGACACCACCACACCGCACCGCACCCCACAGCTTGTGCAGACTACGATTCCACCAGCTTGTGCAGACCCTCACCACAACAGCGCACACAACCTCCACCAGCTTGTGCAGACTCCACCAGCTTGTGCAGACTACGATCCCACCAGCCTGTGCAGACTCCACCAGCTTGTGCAGACCTCACACTCCTGACACCACCTCCAGACTCCAGACACCACGCTCCAGACACACATGTTGGGAGGGGGAAGCTATGCGGGTATCTGGAGGTAGTCGTCCCCCTCTCATTGCAGCATTACACTATGTCAGTATGTCTGGGGACCGTTGGGTGGAGCATGTGGTAAGCATCGTCAGCATCAGTACACATATTTTTTCTTCATCGTTATCCACATCTGCATGTCCTTCATCGTTATCCACATCAACATGCACATATGTCTGCTCGTTCATCACTCGTGCGAAGATAAGCGAGGACGCGCAAGGTAACCGTGCTCGCCTGGGCCCCGGGGGTTTTGCCGTGAAGGCCGCCACAACAATCGACAATATCATTGGCAGCTTCCGTCGGCCCGCTGGCTGTCGATCCCTTTTGCCTGAGTCGCCACAACAGAATCTATTCGTCACGACCGCCATGCCGTCGGCTTCCGAGATGCTCGCCGCCGCGGCGAGTGCGGGAGGTGCCGCGACCGCCTCGGCGGACGACCGCAAGCGCTTCCGCGGCGCCGATGGCGGCCCGCCAGTGCGCGCAGCAGCACAAGCAGACCGGTTCGAGCGGCTCTTGCGCTTCTGCCTGTACCGGAGCTCGTCGCTCGAGACCGCGCTATGCGCCTCCAGCCTTGTCTTCGTCTTGCGCGAGACCACCATCAAAGCCGGCACCGAGACGGCCAAAGGGAAATGGAAGGAGAACAGGCCCGTCGTCGAAGAATCCATGCACGCCCAGAGGAACTACCCCAGCCACCCGCTCGGCGAGGAGCGGGTGTTTCTGTTCATGACGGTGCTCGAGCATGCGGAGAAATGGTACGATGCCGACACGCAGGCCCTCATCACCAAAGTCGAGCAGATCCCGACGAAGTTGCTGAACTCCTCGATCGCGGCCTTCCAGCCGCGCTACCCCACCGCGAAGGAGGGCCGGGCGTGGGTCTTCGACTTGCAGCTCCACACCCTGATGCACGACGACGTGAAGCTCCTGGCCTTGCAGTTCCTGGCTCACAAGCCGGTGGCGGAGCTTGGCATCGAGTTGCACCGGAAGCGCCAGGACGGCCTGGAGAAAGCCCTGTGGACCGACCTGAAAGAGATTCAACAGGCCCGGATGGCGCGACCATGCCGCGACACTTGTGGCCACCAGGGCGGGACGATTTTTTGTGGACAGTGCTCGCCATTGGTACTCGGCGACGGCTTGTTGTAGAGCCGCTGGTTCTCGTCGACGGCTTGTTTAGAACCACCGGCACTCGACGACGGCTTGTTTTAGAGCCACTGGTACTCGGCGACGGCTTGTTTAACACCACTGTACTCGGCGACGGTTTGGTTTAGATCCACTGGTACTCAGCGACGACTTGTTTAGCACCACTGGTACTCGGCGACGGCTTGTTTTAGAGCCAGTGGTACTCAGAGACGGCTTGTTTAGCACCACTGGTACTCGGCGACGGCTTGTTTCGCACCACCGGTACTTGACGACGGCCTGTTTAGAGCCACTGGTACTCAGCGACGGCTCGTCTAGAGCCACTGGTACTTGTCGACGGCTTATTTTAGACCACTGGCTTCGGCGACGGCTTGCCGGAAAAACGCATTATCATCATCTTCATCGTCTCTGGGCATATCTCTGGCGACTTATGGACACAATTGGTACGGCAGCCACACAGGATTATAGAGTTGGCGGTTTGAGTTTCCCTGGAAAGGTACCCGCACGGTTTGCAGGATATGGTGCGCCATCCTCATGTTTGCTGGCATTGCAACGGCTTCCACACCTTTGCTTTCTCATCAGTACAATCAGCGAATTCGCATCCAACTTGGTGGGCGTTGTTTCACCCATTGCAGTGCGTCCTCACCTTGTTCCTCCTCCTGATTCTGCTTTCCCCTCCCCGCACCACTATCTGCCCTTGTCGGCGGTGGCGGGGCAACCGGCATCCCCCACACGACCGGGGGCTGCCGTGCACGAGGGGCAGTCCTAAACGTCTGGGACGGCCCCGCGCCGCCCCGAAGGTGCAACGTTCGTCTACAGCGCCTTGGTGAAGCTGGGTATCCACCAGCTGCAGACCTCACCTATTCCCGGATGTTCTACCAGGATGGCCTCTCGAGCAGCACGTGGGGCGACTGGGCGCCGCACACGGGCCCCCCGCTGCGCTCCTTCGGGAGCGAGCTGGACGCGCAGGCGCCAGTGTGCCTCTGGTACCCTGCCGACCTCGCGAAGGATGTCGACGCCGCGGCCTTCAAGAGACGCCGCGAGGCAGAGAGCAAGGATGGGCGGGTGAACACGCTCGCCATGATGAGCTACAACACGCCAAAGGCCGCTGGCAAGTCTCCTGGCGAGATTTCCCCGTCTTTCGAGGGGGAGTTCGAGGACATCCCAAACGGTCTGGCCGCCCTCCCCACGGTGCCAGGACCAGGCTGGCTGCAGATCGTGGCGCATTGCCTTTATTGCGAGTCGGGCCCGTTTGGGTACAACCCGGACCCCAACGGCTCCGAGGTGGGCATCGGAACGTCGTACCTCGGGGCCCTCAATGTGTACAAGGGGGACGACGCCGCGGGCCCTGAGAAGATGAAGCGGTCCCTGAACGCGAGCTGGCCAACGGCCGCCTGGCCATGATGGCCATCATCGGGATGTTCCTCCAGGATGGCCTCATGGGCTCCGCCTGGAGCGACTGGGCGACCTACACGGATTCGCCGCTGCGCGCCTTCGAGAGCGAATGGGACCTGCAGCCGCCCGTCGGCTACTGGGACCCGCTCGGCCTTGCGAAGCACGTCGGTGCGGACGTCCTCCACAGGAGGAGGGGCACCGAGGTCAAGCACGGCCGCGTCGCCATGTGGGCCGCCATAGGGTACATCGTGCAGGATTTCTTCCTGTGGCCGGGAGGTGTCGTCCTCGAGGGGCCTGCCCTTGCGACTCTTCCGAAAGGCTTGAGCGCTCCGGGCAAGGTGTCTGGTGCCGACTGGGGGCGAATGTTCCTGTTCTACGGCTACCTTGAGCGCCGCGCGGCCAGGCAGGGCCCAACGGATCCTCCGGACAAGCTCAGCAGAACCGAGGCGGGCTTCGGCAAGTCGCACTTCGGGGCCCTCGGCGGGTTCAAGGGGGGCGGCATAGGGGACCCTGAGAAGAACAAGCGGTCTCTGAGCGCGGAGCTGGCCGAAGGCCGCCTGACCAGGACGGCCATCATCGGGGCGCTCTTCCAGGACAACCGCGCGGGCTCCGCCTGGGGCGACGGGGTGACCTACGCGGACTCGCCGCCGCGCGCCCTCGAGAGCGAGCTGCGCGCGCAGGCGCCCGTCGGCTACTGGGGCCCGCTCGGCCTCGCTGAGGTCTACTTTCACAACCACGTCGACGACGACCACGACCACGACGGCTACGAAGACATCCGAGACCCATGCGAGCTCACATCGCCGACCCCTCCCTCTCCTCCTTCAATTTGCCAGATCTTGCGGCTATCGGCTGCGCCTCCTCTTCCCCCCCTCCCCCTACTGCGCAGGGCACTCTCGCACCGTCCCCTGCGGTTGGAAACGAGGCCCGGGGACGTGCCTGCGGGGCGGTTGTGGCAGGATTACCAGACGAAGATCGAGTTGTATCCAGAGAGGGAGTTTCTTGGCGCTTCGCGTATCCCCACCGCGTCCGTAGCCCCCTTGGCTCAAGCCGCCTGGTGGGCCTGCCCCCCTCGGTGCAGTCCCCCGTCGCTCAAGGGGGCGCCCGGGCGCCGCTTTCCCGCCAGCTCAGGACTGCTTTCCCCCCAGAAGGCGGCGCAGGCGACGGCTGCTCCGCGCCGGGGTATTCTTGGAGATGATGATCCAGCAGTACGCGGCGCGGGAGACTGCGCACTGGCCCCAATGGAGACATCTCCCCCGCAGAGTGCGCAACCACCGCCGATGCGCGAGGACGAGCCAGCACTGAGATCAAGACCGCCCTCGAGGCGCGAAGGGGAAAAACACTTGCAGTTGCTGGTGGAGGGACATGCCCCTGAGAGGAACCCTGAGCGCATTCCATTCCCCCCTGCCCCTCCCGCCTCCCCTCGCAGCGGAGCGGGCGAGCCACAGTGGGCACGAGCAGCGGACACTCCTCGGCCCACAACGGTCGGAAATAGGGATGGGGAGCAGGCTCGGGAGGCAGCCCTGGGAGCTTGCCCAGTTGACACAGCCTCCCCCCCCAGCCAGAGTGGGCGCTGACCCCCCACAGGACGGCGCGGACCGAGGCGTTCATGCTCCCCCTCTCTCATCCTATGATCCAGCAGTTGCCGCGGCTATCGGCCGCACCTCCTCCTCTCCCCACCCCCTTGGGTGGCAGGGTTCAAGAGCCGCGCCACCTGGAGTGCGCCAGGTCGATCAGAGCGCGGGCGATGGAGTGTCCAATGCTGGGGGAGTTCCGTCAACGACGGAAGCGGCCCTCTCGCAGCCCCAGGACAGAGATGCGGCGAGTAGAGAACCAGCGCTCCCCGACGGTGACCCCCCCATTTCCGTGCATTTCATCAGATCCAGCGGCTATCGGCCGCGCTTCCCTTTCTCCTCCTCCAATTTCACCAGTTAACGCGGCGATCGGCTGCACTTCTCCCCGCTCTCCTCCTCCCATGCCGTGCGACTTGCCAGATCCAGCGGCTATCGGCTGCACCTCCCCCCCAGCTCCCCCACGCGAGACGATGAATGGCCCAGCCACGGCGCATAGACCCCATTGTGATGCCGAGGCGCACGCGCCCGTACCTCCGAAGTAGCAACGGTGGGCAATGCCACCTATGTTGGAGCTACGCGGAGGGGAGGCGCACGACTGGGGTGCCGACGATGAAAGCACCTGATTCGGACGCTTGGGGTCGGCACAGCCCCCCCCCCCCCCGCCGCGCATCTGGTCGTCCCGAGATGCAAGGACAAGGGCGCGCAGCCCTGCAGGAGGGGAGGATTATCGCGAGCAAGGGAGACGAAACCCCCAGTCTAGGCCTCCCCCGTCAACGGGAGGGGAGGTGTCTCGCAATATCGACGCCCCCTGCCAAGCCCCCACAGCGATGGACCCTAGGAATACCATGAGAGGAGGCCCCCTCTCAGCCCTTCTCTCGCGACACGAGCCTAGGGGTGGGCCATGGAGGATGCACAGGGTCTCCCCCCGCAGTCAAGTAATGAAAGAAGGGTTGGTCGGGCTGATAAGGCGGCGTTGGCTCTGGCACCCCCCGGGAAATGCCGACCCCCCAGCGGCAAGTGGAGAAAACCGGCCCGACAGGGACCAAACAATACGGAGGGGCACAGGGAACACCCGCAGCGTCGCAACAGCCATGACTCACCTAGACCTTACATGGCTGGTTTGGTCCATCACGGGCTCCGATCACGATGCTAGGTTAGGTGGAATCGGGCCAGACCCTGTCCAGCTGCTTGCCTTCCGATATGCCAGTCTCGCACAAGACCTGGACATCGGGGGCGACATGCAAGATGTTCATGAGCCTACACCGGAGGAAACCTTAGCGACGGAAGCAGAGTATGACACTCTACACCACGCCGCCCTCTACGTGGACATTGGGATGTGCGAACCTACGGACCAGATATTCCCCCCAACCCTCCTGGGCATATCCAGGTGGCAGCATGGCCCTGCGCCCGACGCGGCGGATAATAGACTTACTGACACGAACTTGGAACGAAAGGCCAGGATCTGCAAGCATCTAGTCCACGAGCACCGCCCTAACTCCGTGCACTTTCCGGACCACGGTGAAGTCCGACGTTGGGCCATCAGCAGAGGACACTGGGTCGAGGCCGGCACAGACGTCCTCTCAACACCGCAACACGGCCTAGGCCGCGACGGGTGGGCTATGCCAGCTATTCACAGCGCTTAACCGCAGCCCCCTGGCATATTGGGGCCCAGAAACTTCGAGGGCGACAACCCGACAGGACCGTGGCCCGTCAACAGCACCTCCCAAATGATCATGAGTGGGGCTTTCTTTCAGCCCAAAGACAGATGTGGAAACTGCGGGTGCTGGCACATGAGGCAGGACGCGAGCAACTGCATCGTGTGTCACAGACTAGGTTCAGCATGGACCACTGATACGGACAGCTCTCCCACCACCGAGTTGGAAGCCCCCAAACACCCCCAGGACCTGCTGGGCACGAGGCCCACGCTCCAGCTGGCCAGGGTGGAGGCCCGCTACGCCCCCATCGCCAGCCACGTCGACAACGAGCGTCACCCATCAGAGACCACCAATTTCTCTCCGTCTTGGCTGTTGCGAACGACAA